GATATCAGCAAGGGCGATAGGGTTTATATTTTATGTGATTTCCTGAAATCCCTTGTATTCATCAACACCAAGATGAGTGTTTACATAAATGTTATCCGAGAGGGGACAGGTACATGGAGAAATGATGATATGAAAAAATCAGGCACTAATTAATGAACATTAGATAGCCTGCTGAAAAATCCATGGACTTAAATGTTAGGCTAAATCATGAATTACATACTCGACCATGCTGCTTGCGTCAATTAAACACACTGGTTTGGCTTTAAGCTGGTACTATAGCAATATGCACTGTGGGATTGTATGGGATCATAGGTAATAAAAGGTCTTTCAACACCCGGAGTCTCTGGTTGGGTAAACGGAAATGTGTATGAAATAAAAGGACAATCAAACCGAAATATGTTGAGTTGGGTTTATGTACAAAGCAAAAAGGTCCTCACAATAAAGCAGCAAATAAAAATGGGTAAATAAGCAAGACAGCCCTAACAAGTTTGTAAAAATCTTTTTCACTTTTATTTTTATAAAAAGAAAAACATTCGGATTATATACGAATTTGGGTCTGCATTAAAATGACTTGACAACTGTCATTAAATGCCTCTTGTGCCTGCAATTTTCAAGGCTGGCTTGAGTGAAAAATTGACATTCTGCTTCCGCGAAGAGTAGTCGGCAGCGTTAGTCGTCTTTGTCATCCTGCCTGCCGCCATGTTGTTGGAAGTGACCCTTACATTTGCTCTTGGACTTGGCACCTCCTCCAAATCCTCAAGCTCATTCGATAGAGCATCAAATTCCTCTTCGGATGAAGCTAACTCCTCTTCATCGGCACCTTCATCGTCTTCTTCATCGTCGTCACCATTTTCCATGACTTTTTGCGTTGGCCTACTACTTTGTCCGGACTGGTTTCTCAGCTTTGAATCTCTATTGCTGCTTTCTTCATCTGAGTAGACACTAGAGACAACATCATCTCCCTATAAAGCGATAAAATAAAGTAAGGCATGTTACTCTTTTGCTAATTATCCGTTGAATTTTGAGGAATTTTAGCTTTTAGTGAATCTACCAATACCTCGGACTTGTATAGAGGAGCAAGCATCGAATTGTGACATTTCTTCCGCATGGCTGTACTACTCAGCACACTACTTTAACATTTCCTTTCCCGTACTTTCCGATTCCAGCCCTGACAACCACTAACTATTTTTTTC